TAATCCTTAAGCTCTTTCGTCCAAAATCCAGATCTAGCCCTCAAATTATGTTTTTAATCATAACGTTTCCAACTTTATCATCTTGCATAACTATTAAGTTCTCAATACTAAAAATCCTAACTTCTTAACTCTTTAAGACATCCTTGCTCATGCATGGAAGTAAACTAAGGTCCAAGATCACATTTTTATGGTTCCTAAGAACTCTATAATGGATAAAGCTTCCAACTTTATCCATTAGAATAGTCCAAAAAACCAAGATCTAGTCTCTAAGTCTCAAAGGGACCAAAAATGCATCTTTTCCAACTTAATCCATTAAGTCCAAGTCTCAAGCCTTTGGATCTAAATCAATATAATGTTTAGATGGATAAAGTTTCCAACTTTATCCATAACAAGGTTACACACTTTCAAGATCTAAACTTTATGCACTAAAGTGACCAAAAGCTCATAACACCCAAAACTAGCTAGATCTAGCAAATGCATCATCAAGATTCAAGTTTTATACCTCTAGAAGAAAGATCAAGGTGACACAAAGTCTGGATCTACAAGCTCCAATGCAACCAACACTTCTTAAATGAGCTCATTTTTCTATAAGATGCACCAAGAACACTCCAAAGCACTTTAAAAACACTTTCTTTTTTCTCACAAGGCTCAAACTAGGGTTATGGTTTCAAGGGAGGGTGTTCGAGAGGTGGAGGATGAGAATGAAATGGGTTTGAGCCTTGTGAGAAAAAAGAAAGTAGGGATGCCCTAACGTACACCTAACGTACTCAGGGATGCCCTAGTACGCCCAACGAAAATAGGGTTTGGGAACTGATCGCGTACGCCTAACGTACTCAGGGATGCCCTAGTACGCCCAACGTACTTCCCCGTACGCCCAACGTATGCGGCTAAGCCAAAAACCTTCCTAACTTCAAACGGTCATAACTTCTTCGTTCCAACTCCGTTTTCAACGATCTTTATATCAACAGAAAGGTACTGAAGAGCCCCAAAATATTATCTAGATATATTGGACTAAAAACTTCCCGAACAAAAATCCATATCTCATGCAAGAAGTCCGAAACATCACTTTTCCCATTTTACCCTTTGACTCCAACACAAACCAAACTATTGGATCACATAATCTATATTACCCACATCCAAATGGGTCTAAATCTCTCTTTCCCCAAAACCCAAAGCCTTATAATACTTGATCTTCGGGTCACGGTCCCGAATTATAAAACGATTTGAAACAGGGTGTTAAATTTATATCAAAAATCTTTTTTTGAATGACTGAATATCTGACTACCAATTTAAATCATTGGAACATTTTTTCACAAAATTAAGGGTTTTATGGTCGTACGTATTCGAAATAATCATTGTAATTCTAAAAATCTAAATCAAAATTAATTATCAAATAGTGATTTATTTAAATTATAAGTAGTTATATTCTAAAAATCAATTTTCTTATAACATATTCTAAAAATCAAATTTCTTATAACAATCCTTACATACTTATTCAGAATAGATCATATCTTAAAAGACCAAAACCCTAAACCCAAAAATGTTTATAACTAGGGAAGATTCCCGCGTTGCGGGATTGGATACGCCAAAGTAATCCTAAGCCACATTTCACCCATTTTAAGTTTAAACTTTTAAAAAATCTATCAAGAATTTAACAGGTAACGTACAAAGTAAATCATCACTATGAAGATCATAGAAATTGTATGAGCTCAACTACAAACTTTCCCTTCTTGGTTTCGTTCACTTCTCCTATCTGTGCAAATACAAAACACGAAGGTGTTGTTTGACAAAACCAAAAAAATTGTGTTTCTTTTTTAACCAAATACAGAAAAAATGACTTAAAAGAGAAAGTTTGGAAAATAATATACTTTCCCCATTAAGTCGTGACCTTTCACAAAATTCCCCTCATCCAAACAATATACCCATAGTTACATGAAGTAAGAATTCTTTTCCATTGCGTGTCACAACCAAATTAAAGATATGTTAAAGAAACTTTTTAAAGAAGAAATATATGTTAATTTGCAGCGAATACAGCATACCAATTTGTGTTTCTTGAACACCATCATTGTCCTATAATCAAAAGCAAAAAGGGGATAATGAGAAAAGAAGCAAAAAAGCTATTTTTAGAATGTATATTAACTTCATAAGTGTCAATTAATTATTAAAAACGATGAAACCTAAATTGAAGAAATTGTAGTAGGATGTTTACAGTTCCCACGAAACCCATCTTGTATCACTTAGAAATTACTTTATGAGATTCGATCAATAAAATATGTGGGATAAAAAAAATGGTTAAATTTTATGATCCATAATTGTAATACTTAATTTCTATGGTTTTCTTTCTTTCAATTTGTTGTTTTTTAACTAATTATAAAAGTATGGGACCAGGATGTTACCGGTTTCGGTTCCAACTTTTTAGGAACTGCCAGTCCAGTTCCGGTTCCTTGTAATTTGGTTGGGTACCTACATATGCTGACTGTTACATGTAATGCTGGATAATCTCTTTTTTTGCCCTCTTAGAATTCCAACATGAGAAGAGATGTCGAGATCAAATTTAAAAGGGTTATACAGAAGAAACTACTTTTTTTGAAATATATCAAGAAAATTGTCAAAGCTTTCTATCTTTTAAGCTCTTATTGCAACAAAAAGTAACTTTAGTAAATGACAACTGATTTCATGAAAAACCTTGTAGATTTACATCATGCATCTCAGCTCCATCTCCACCAATGATGACAATTGATTTCTTGTATCACCTTTTTTCATAATACAACTACATAGTTCATCATTAGAAACGTAGGTTTCCTCTGCAGCAACAACTTTGGGGTTATTATTTTTTTTAAAACAGTTGAAAGTAGGTTTGTCAAATTGGAAAAAAAAGAGGTTCAACATGTTGGTTTGGGTAAATTACTTTAATTGTGGACCAGTTTTCCCTTGTTATCATTTAGCCTCATCAAAATGGAATAACACATGCATCTCGTAGCTTGGGATGCAAAACAATAATAAAGATTCAAGACTATAAAGGACAGTGATAGAGGGTAATAAGGGAATTCACTAATGTTAGAAAGCTACCATCCCAGACATGACTATATACATGTTACTATTTCCCCTTCTTTTGATTAAAGTGTTATATCTGGGTACATAAAAGAATGAAATCATGATTTTTTAGAAGTAAAATCAGACATAATAGCAACTTAATATGCATACTTGTAAACTTATACACTGTAAGTTTCGTTGGTAAATTACTGGAAAGTCATGAATACATAAAGACAAATACCCATTTATCTTTATTTTATTTGTGGAAAAGAAAAAATATTACCAGCTGTTGAGAGGGAAGTCGTCTAAAACTCTATCATGTTATGCAATAAAATCATCACACCACAATCTCAGAAATGAAATTAATATCGTTTCAGAACAATACAATAAATAATTTGATTAATATTTTTCTTTTTGTTTCATTACCAAAAATTACCTTTTCATATTCCAGTGCTTGCAAAATCATTTCAACCTGGAAAATAAAAAACGTAAAATATTTAAATAAAAAAATATAAATGTTTTGAAAACAATTAAAACATGGAGATTAAGTAGAATAAAATAAACATACTTTGTCAAAATCTTTCACAAGATTTGGCTCGTGGGAAGCATTATCCTCATATTCTGTCTAGAGTTCTTGAATTTCTTCAGCTGTATACCAAAAGTACCCCTCATCCCACCACCAAGAACATTTCACATTTCATTTAAAGCTGTTTGCTGAAGTGTATTCTTTTCAATCTTAGGTACACCATCAGAAGGTGTTATATCTCCCACAATAGCTATAAAATTCAGATTATGTTATCAAGTTTTAATAATCCACAAATACAAAAGATAAATCATGGAACAAATGGTAATTTTCAGGAATTAATTGTGTACCTTCTGCAATGTCGTGCACAATTGCAATCTTCATATACTTATTCAAGATTATACAGAAAAGTTGTGTTTTGATCGATGATTAGTGGAAAGATTGAAATCAGAAGAAGCAAAATGTAACTAAATCGAACCTTCCCTGTTGACTCTTTTTCTCCAGCTTCTTTTTACCATTTATGAATGGGCCCGGAACAGGCTGAACAAAGATGGTCATCCCGATTAACATTTAGTGCCACTGAAAATACCTACCACAAAACCCTACTTAATTTCCAAAGGCACAATCCTAACACAAAGAACACCGAAAGCATGGAGTTAACAAATGACAGAGGACTGAGGGGACAAAGTAGAGCAGAGGGAACACACCTGGAAGCCGACGGCGAGCATGTATTGGCGAAGAGGAGGAATCAACACAAACCGAAATGAGAATCTCCACAGCGAGCAGCGGATGCAGCGATGATATCATTTAGAAGACAAATTGAAGAAGGAATCATCACCCAAATATAGAAAGTTAGGGCTTTTACCATGCGCTTTGGCTTAATCGGAGGAGCTACCTGCAATATTTAGGGAGTGAAATTAATGGTGAAAAGAAACTGGAAGGTCGACATGAGGTGTGCAACAGAAGCAAATAAGCGAAAGGAGAAGCCAACTAAGGGAGAAAAGCAGTGGAGATTAACCTAAGGCGGTGGAGGAATAAGCGAAAGAAGAAACAGTGGACAGAAATCTAATGCCTATTGGCTCAGTCGGTTGCCATTGGAATCTGGAGACGGTGCGATTGGAATATGGAATAGGTGGAATGAGCCGGAAAAAACACGTAGATGGTGGTTGGGGATTTCAAACCACGTGTAAAGCAATATCTAGAAAAAGGCAAAATATAAAAAAATTAACCAAAATTAAACCCATCAAATAAAAAAGGAAAACCCAAAAAAAAACCCACCAATCACAGCCAAGTACCGTTCACCTGGCACTAATTTATATATATATATATATAATGATTTAATGATTTAATCGGAGACATCCATTTTTCAAACAAATTAAAACACCCTTTAGCGGGCTTGGGGTTTGCAGGCCGGGTCAGGGTCATTAACTGGACTTTGTTTAACAAAAAATGAAGAGTCATTTGCACGCAACATTAGGGTTTTGCAGGGGTTTCTCCCCTCTTCGAGTCTAGACGCTCATGAGCGAATCGTATGAATCATCTACGAATTTAATTTCTAAGTTCAGGTTATTTCAATTCTGAGTGTTACAGTTTTCATCGCACAAATTTCTGTGGATGGAAGCTCAAGTGGGGATGTCTAGTCATGGGGGAGTCGTGGACGGCAGTACAGCGGTGAAGTTTTTGCAAAAGCAGCAGGCGGTGGCACCATCTCCTTCGCCACGTCAACACCAACAACAACATCAACAGTCTGCGGAGATAGGCACGGTACCGCAGCTTCTAGCCGGAGGTATTGCTGGGGCTTTTAGCAAAACATGTACAGCTCCACTCGCACGCCTCACTATTCTCTTTCAGGTCATCATACCACTTGATACTTACGATTCTTATTAACTTATAAATTCGTATCTTAAAATGAAATGAAAATTTGGAAATTGGACTTGCGGATTTTGGGGTTTAAGATTCAAAAGTCTTGTAGGTTTATGACCATGGTTACTAAAATATCATAAGTGTAGGCATCTGTGCGTTCTTCTGCCTAGCTGTCTTCTAAGCAACCGTCTTCGAATTTCCTGTTCTAACAATTTGGTGCTACATTCATGATTCATCCTACACAATGAAAAAGTTTACATACCTATTATCTCAACTCCTAATGACAAGCATAACATTGCCTCCTAAGTCTCGATTAAATTTTGCTAATATTCAAGATTGCGTCTGACCTAAGTTTGTTGTGAAATGTGAGGTGCCTTGCATTGAATTTGATAAAGTCGTCACTTTTAACATTCAGTGACACTTGAGGATTATGAAAGGAATGTTTTGAATTAACTGAATGTAGTGTCATCAACTTTCTCTTGGAATCTTGCAGAGCTTTTTAAACACTTATAGATTAATTTAAGTTTAATAGGAACAAACGGAAGGGTTGCATATCACATGTAGTTTTGGTTTGGAGGGAGTATGTTTATCTTGGTGATACAGCATAAAGATATTAGCTTTATACATTTTTGTGGTATATGCCTTTGGGCATTATAATTGATGGGCACTACTGTAATCTTTAAATTGGTTTGTCATTTTTGTGTTTGACTTATGTAGGTGCAAGGTATGCATTCTGAGGTTGCACTGTTGAGCAGGCCTTGTATCTGGAATGAGGCTTTGCGTATTGCTAATGAAGAGGGTTTTAGAGCCTTTTGGAAAGGAAATCTAGTTACTATTGCTCATCGCCTTCCTTACACTGCAGTTAACTTCTATGCCTATGAACAGTTCAAAAAAGTGAGTTTTTTTTATCCATATATATTACTATTTTGTTTAATATCATGTTACACTGCTGTTATAATGAGTGATGACCATTAACTTGTTTCTCTTATCACTTGCAGTTGTTAAAGTCAATTCCAAGTATTAGAAATAACAGTGAAAGTGCAGCTGCAGATGCTTGTGTACACTTTGTGGGTGGTGGAATGTCAGGAATAACAGCTGCTATGGCCACTTATCCTTTAGATCTTGTCAGGACACGTCTTGCAGCTCAGGTGTGAAAAATACCTAAAAATTTTATGACTATTCTTTATGTTTTTATAGAAATGTTTGTTAAGTTTCTCGATATATCAGTATTCTCAGCTTTTGATGTTATTAATAATGTATCAGTGTTCTAAAATGCATTAGGTGGAGCTTGGTGGTTGACCAAGTGCCCAATGTTTAATTGGTCAAACTGGGATTAATTGGATAATTAAGTGGACAAATTAAACAATCCACTTTTAATGTATGGAATCTGTTTGGTACTTGGTACAGATAGCCTTCAATGCTAGAATTACATATTTTCCTATCTATATTATTATAATATATATAAATATGTGCTATCAAAATCAATTCTACTCTCCAATATTTTTAATATATTGTCTATATTTTACAAAGATTAAGCAATCTCTTCTAACAAGTTAACATTCTGTGAAAGTGAAGTAGTTCGTAAGTCTATGTTGTTGGGGGTTCTTTATCAGAACCACATAACAAAATACACTTCTTTTTTAGTTTCTTCTCTCAATCAAATATGATTGACTTTGTACAATAGTCTCTTGATTCTCCAATTCCACTTGGAAGATGGAATTGAAACTTGCAAGCTGAGATCAGAACTCAGAAGACAAAATCAGAACTTGGAACATGCCAGATGGATTCTGTTGCAGCAGGTAAGTAATATGTTTGTTTAATCTGATTGAGCTAAACCGCTTAATTTTCCAATTTGGTCATAATTGGAGCACTGTTGTCTCTTCCCTCTTTGCCTAATCTGATTTTTAGAACACTGGTTTTTATCTAGTCTTGTTAATAATATATTTATACTCTCTTTGAATACCAATCAAGTTATTCTTGTAGGGGCTATATGATCTTACATTTGTTTATTTTGTGTTGCAGAGAAGCACAGTATACTATCATGGAATTGGGCATGCACTTCGTACAATTATCAGAGATGAGGGGTTTGTTGGCTTGTATAAGGGACTTGGAGCAACCTTATTGGTAATGTTTAAGGCCCCCTTCCTTTTTATTTTTTTATTTTTTTATTAAAGCATCTCCAATCCAACACCAAATCCCATTTTATACACCATTTTGGTGTTAAACTTTCATGTGTACATATATATGTTTCTTCGAGTTTGAGTTTTTACATTTCTATATAATTTAATCTGTGTAGTTAAGTAGTTATGTTTTTAAATGTAATACTTGGTACTTGTAATATTTTTTTATTATATTAAATTGATAGTAATTAATCATCTATTATTTTAATCTTTATGTTTCAGATTTAGTTACTTTTGAAAATTGACATTATATATATAATTTTTATGGTTATAATTATTCGATAAGATAAGTTACAAAGTTATTGTAAAAGAAAACAGTAAGACGCAGTTATAAAAGCTAATAAGTATAAGGTGTATTTTTGAAAGTCTATACAAGTTAGAAAAAAGGAATATACTTGGAATATTCTTTTTGGTTTAAAAAATTGTAAATTACTCTTTGCATTAAATAAATAAACATACCACAGGGACAGTTTCTGTAATTTACTCTTTTGTGTAGTTACTGCAGAAAGAAAAGGCTCTCTGATTAAGTAGTAACTATTTACAAATTTGCCCTCTTTTTTTTTCCTTCCATTTCCTCATTTCCCCAAAGGTGCTGTCATTTTCTCAAATATTTTTAAGCATTATATAGCAAGACAGCCTTGGACCATCTCCAACCCATAACACCATTATAAATCATGCTTTGGGTCCCTTGCAACAATTCTTAACCCTTTTGGTCCCTTGAAGATGCTTTTATAACATTTTTATCCCTAAGTTGGATGCTGTTAGTTTGGCTGTTAAGTAAACATGAAATGACTATTTTACCCTTACTAATATACTTTTTTATGTTTTCATGCAGGGTGTTGGACCAAGCATTGCAATAAGCTTTTCCGTTTATGAAATGTTGCGATCAAATTGGAAATCTCAAAGGTCCACATTTTTATATACTCTATAAACCAAAAAAATACAATCTCTCTCTCTCTCTCTCTCTCTCTCTCTCTCTCTCTCTGCATTAACACCCTTATCTACAACAGGCCAGATGATTCCACTGTGATGGTGAGTTTGGCTTGTGGCAGTCTCTCTGGCATTGCTTCTTCTACAGGTGAATTTTTCAAAGCCATAATTTCTACTTCCATTTTTCTTTTTATTCCTTTCTCTCTTTTTTTTTAATATATATATATATATATATATATTTATAATTTTCATCGTGTATTTGCAGCAACATTCCCGTTGGATCTTGTGAGAAGGAGAAAGCAGTTGGAAGGAGTGGGTGGGCGGGCCCGTGTTTACAATACAGGCTTACTTGGGACATTTGGGCACATTATACGCACTGAAGGCTTTCGTGGTCTATATAGAGGAATACTTCCTGAATATTACAAAGTTGTCCCAGGTGTAGGAATCGTATTCATGACATACGAGACACTCAAGAAACTTTTTTCAGATAGGCCGGTCTAGGTTACAACTTTTAACATATATTTCAATTCCACATTTTCAACGCCAGTATCATTATCATTATCAGTATCAGTATGAAGATCTTTTAGGAAAAATCTAATGCTCTTTGTAGGTTACACAGGCAGGCTATGTTGTCATTGCTGTCTTGAGTTATATTTATCGTGTATATGTTGTAGATCCGGAATTGCATGTGTTCTGATTCCGGTGCTTTTTTTTTTTTTTTTGTTTTGGTTTAGGACGGCAACCTGAAAATTTTGATGGTATAAATTTTGATGATATGTTATCTGTTTAATGTTTTTTTTTCTTGGTTCTAATTGAAATGTAGAAAATCAAATACAATTGATCTGAAACAATAGGAAATGTTTGGTTCATTCTGGCAGATAATAATGGAATTGGAATCAGAGATTTTATTCCATTGTGTGTTTTTGTGATCTTTTAAAATTCCATGCTTGATTGATTTTTCTCTCAGGGTGGGGGGAAAGGAATTCGATTCCAAATAAAACGACCAAAAAAAATCCAAATTATATATGTACATATGTTCAAATAGTTAAAAGCAAAATGTTTAAATATAATTGAAAATTTAAAAAGTATTCAATTTACATTATTAAATTATTAATTTCATGAACCAATTCTCAAAGTATCAGATTATTTTTTATAGAATAAATTTCATTTTTGATTGTCGAGTCTGATTATTTTAGTCTTGGGTTTAAAAAGTTTTTTTTTTCCCTTGGTGTTGGTACTTATTTGAAGTTTTGTCCTCGTTTCAATTAGAAAGATTATATTTTTGGAAATAAAATTGTAAAAATTTGATATAACGGAGCCAAAAGATTAAAATTTTTACAAATTAAAAACCTCAATTACAAAAAAACAACTTTTAAAACCAAAATAATAAAATTCATCCAAGCTAATATGATTCACTTTAACTTATTTGATAGATTTTTGAAGTAGTTTGCAGAACACAATAGTGCGACACGTGCAACATGCACAAATAGAATATATTACAACAAAAATTTTCTACTAAATGGATCAAATAAAACATACCAAACTATATAATACGATTTTACTGTATAACATAACACATATATATCAAGCCCTTGCCACGTGGCCGTGACCTTGGTAGCAATCGGCCACAGCCACCGTCGTTGATTTCTGTACGTTCTTGTACGAGTATCTGCGCGCTACAAATACATACACACACAGATTCACTGCAGCGATTGCCGCCAGCAACCAATAAAAGTAGTCGAGACGGCTACCATTCAAATCCTTCCCAAACCAACTTTTTCCTGACACTTTTGTAGTCACATGATCCACAATTGTGATCAAGAAACTACTCATAAAGTTTCCAGCTCCAATCACACTTAGGTAAAGAGCGATTCCGATGCTTCTCATGGAATCAGGAACTTGATCATAAAAGTATTCTTGAAGACCAACTAAAGTGAACGCATCCCCAATTCCGATGATTAAAAACTGTGGTGCTAACCAGAACACACTCATTCCGGCCGACCCGTGTAACGGATTGTCTCCCACGACGGCTAGACGCTTTCTTTCAACAACGGCGGAAACGACCATTGTTGTGACGGAAAACACCATTCCGATTCCGATTCTTTGGAGGATGTTGATTCCTCTTTCCGTTCCGGTTACCCGCCTTAGCAAAGGGACTAGGATTCTATCGTAAATTGTTACGGAAACGATAATTCCGAGAGCGGATAGGCCAAATATCGATGCGGGTGGGAGGATGAAAGTATGGGTGATTTTGCGGTTTAGTAACACGCCTTGTTTGATAAAGAACGTTGTTGATTGTGCCACACAGATACCGAAAGGTAACGATGTTAGCCAAATAGGGATCATGTTTAAAAGCAACTTCGTTTCTTCTACTCTTGTTACTGTCGATAGTCGCCATGGATCTTGTTTCTTGTCAGCAAAAATCTTCTTCTTCGATCACCGCGGCTTTATCAAGAAACCTGTAAACGGAAATGTTACTAAACTAAATGACTATTTTAACATTTTGTCTAAATTATAAGCAAGAAAATTGTTTACTTGAAGGTGTTGTGGCAAAGGAGGCGCTCTCGGGCTTTTTCTGATTTTTGGACCTCATATAACTCACTAGGGCTAGTAGGGTAAGGTAATTTTCTCTTAGAAAATGCTGCAACACATACTTGTACCATAGGCTTCAACGGGTTCACAGGCTTGCGGTATCTATAGAAAGGCCTACCGATGATGAAGATGGCCACCGAACAAGCCATAGCCATGGTGAGAATGATATCTGCTTGACCCCAACCAACATGGTCTTGCATGTACACAATGAGTGTTACACCGAGCAATAGCCCTGAGCAAAGGGCCACACTCCACCAATTGAAGAATGACATCTTTTTCTTGCGTTCTTCTGGATGATCATCATCGAATTGATCAGCTCCGAAGCTTTCTAACGAAGGTTTGTGCCCACCCGTGCCCACGGATACCAAATATATTGCAATGAAGAACACAACTACATGGATCTTTCTAGGTTCTACACAATGCCCGTGGTTTGCACAAGGTTTTAAACTCGGAATCATACTAGACATTGTCAACAGAATCAAACCCTGTAAATAAGAAATACGTTAAAATTAATCTCGTTTGATAACACTTGAGGAGTTAAAGGAGAGTAGGTTACAACTTACCATTAGATAGATAATTGATGATAAAAGAACTGTTCGAAAACGTCCCAAGTAACTGTCGGCTAGAAATCCTCCGACAAGTGGCATTAGAGTCGTTACTCCGGCCCATTGATTAGCGTTCTTAGCCGATGTTTTTACATCTTGATGAAGGACTTTAGTGAGGTATATAATCAAACTTGTCGCTATCCCAAAGTAACATAGCCTCTCTGCAAACTCGATGGCTACAATCACACAAACATTGTAAACGATATTACAACTAATGATTATATCCTGCAAACCAAAACCCTAAAACTGTATGAAACTCATCATTTGGCACAAGTGATGTCACGGCATACGTAACTTGAAACGATATCAAAATGTAAGTGAAACAGAATCATTAGAGCGTCTCGGATGTCAAAATCATTGGATATGGATTTGTATTAAATCTTTTTAAATGATGACATATTTTTTAAAGACATAACTTTCTTTTCATTATACATGAGATGATAGGAATAAGTCTTTTGAATAGTTGATAGATTAACCAAATACTCAAATAGCCAATTAAAATACAACTTTTACTTTTTAACTTTGCTTTTGGGTGTAGCAGTGGGTCATGCCAAGACCTTCAAAAATCACCCCGACACGGACAATCCCATCTCAAGTCTGGGCCGAACAGCTGCAAAGGTACGACCAAGTCCGGGGCTCTGGAAAGACGTTAAAACATCCCGCCACAAACCTGATATTCACGACTCTGCCACCAGATGTGTGTCTCTCATAACTCTCCATTCCAGATAAATATCTGAAAAGGACTCAATACTATACTGTATATACGAACACACCATAGGTGTGCCTCTTCACCAACATTATAAATGCCTTATTTATAGGAGGGACCAACAAGGAAACAATTTACTCCCAAATTTTCTGTATTACTCTCATACACTCTCTTGTATATACACAACTAACTTTAGCGTGAGAGTGACAGAGTGTAATCCCAACACCCGATTACATATGACCCTAGTGCCTCTTTGTGATTAACAAGTTTTGGAAAAGAAACAACTCCACTCTATATCTATCCTTTAATACTAAAATCCCTATCTCAAATACTTAAGTTATGACTCAAAGTATTGTCACCTTATAATTTTATTAATTTTAACATCTAATTACCTTTCCAATGATTAATCTTTTCTAATTATTATTATTATTATTATTATTATTATTATTAATTTTTTTATGTTGTTTATTTTACTATTTTATCATTATCTATTTGACATGTTTTATAAAACCCTCATGTTTAATTAATCATTTTAAATACAAATCATATTTTAATACAAAAATATAAACACAACCATATCAAGTCTATTTACATACACAAAATACGAAAAAAGTAATAACTTTATATTTATAAAAATTAAAAAAAAAAGTTGAAAATATTGTATACTCGTTATAAAATTTATATTTCATAAATTAAATTGCATTAAATATTTAATATAAATAATTAGTTAGTAAAGGGATACCGTTAATGATTAAGGTTAGGCTAATACCCATTAGGGTTTAACTTAGACGAATATCTCATTTTGTATTTCTATTTATATGAGGTTAAATGCTCATTATCGAACGATATCAAAGCATCCTATAATATAACATAATATCAAAGCTCTAGGTTAAAACCCTACTGATGACAACAACCACATCCGTCACCCTCCACATCCGACGACCTTCTTTAATAGTTGTTGGAGGTGCCTTATTACATTTATTTTTTCTTCCAAATAATAATACAACTGCCGACACCAAACCAAATCTCCTTCATGGACTTCTTCTACTACATCGTCTGCTTTTGCCTCCTCCTCAGATGGCCTTTGCCTCCGAGCCTTCTGTCTCCTCCTTGGATGGTTCCTACCTTCGAGCCTTCTGTATCCTCCTTGGATGGACCCTCTCCTCGACTTGCCTCTTCTTCACTTCTTCACTGGATCTCTTTTCCGAGTTAGCCTCTTCTGATGCCGTTGTTGCCTCCTTCCAATGACACCTTCTCCGTAGGCAGTCTCTGATCTACAATGCTCTCTCTCTCTCTCTCTCTCTCTCTCTCTCTCTCCCTATATATATATATATATATATATATATATATATATATATATATATATATATATATATATATATATGGTCGCCGATCTCGTCGAAATTGACTCCGTCCACCACAACTCGAGCCTTCTTTCTTTATCGCTGCCTTTCTTTAGACTCTTGTCTCGCCGACTCCATGATAGTCACCGCCGCCGACGACTCTCGCTTCTTCTAAAATGGACCCACTTCTGACTACCGCTTATTCTCTCTTCTTTTCCGACAAACAGTCACTATAGCCGCCATCGTAAGATCTCTGTCAACGCTACTGCCACTGTTTTCATCCATTTTTTTTTTCCGGTTTAGTTGCCTCATAGCAATCAAACCCTAGGGGGATATTAGTGATTATGGTTACACTAATACCCATTAGGGTTTATGTTAGATCTAGCGCTGATTTTATATTTCTATTTATATAAGGTTGCTCATCATCGAAATATATCAAAGCATTCCAAAATAGAGTAGATACAAAATATTTAAAAGTAAATATAAGTAAATGGGTAAAATGAAATATGATTAAATAAAAGAGTTGGATGTAAAAAACATTAAATGATCAAGAACAATAAAACAAAATAGTTATATGTTCCAATAGCATTGTATGGTTAATACAAAAAAATAATGATATTAATTAGTTATAAAAAAACTCTCATTAAAAATGCTCTTAAGGTAGCGTGTAGTCGTAGTATGGGGGTCGGCATACCACGATGGACACGAACACACACACCCCGTCCATAGTCTCTCTCTCTCTCTCTCTCTCTCTCTCTCTCTCTCTCTCTCTCTCTCTCTCTCTCTCTCTCTCTCTCTCTCTCTCTCTCTCTCTCTGAAACAACAAATATAACCTACTACTAAATTATACTTTTTAAATCCATCTATATCCACGACGGGACTTGAACTCTTAACCTCAATAAGAGAGAACAACATTGGATACCGTTGGGCTAACAATGTATAATTATAGCCTTCCTTTTCAAGTACTATACTACACACTATCCTTAGTGAAATATGATGCAATATATTAGTATTTGATTTAATATATATTTTTATAAATATTTTATTAAAAGTAATAACCGACATTTTTATAAATCAAAATTAAAAAACCCCAAACGAATATTACTATATATTAGTTAATATTAATGAACTAATATACAAATTTAAACTGAAATATTTGAAAAGTATTATATTTTATACTAAAAAAGATAAAGCATGATTTTTTCCCGATGTCACATGAATCATGTTACTTGGATGGATCCTCTACCATCGATTTGGTGTTTTAGGGAACAAGAAGAAGCTAATATACATTTCAAAATAAATATGATAGATAACTTTACGTATATTTAATAGAACTGTCGATTAATTATACTCTTAAACATTTCAAACTTAAAATATACAGCAAGAAAACGTCAAAATACGAGTGAATGTTGCAAAAAGACCCATTTTTCATGAATATAAAAGTTCTTAAAAACCAATAATTAAATTTTAAAACCAAAATGTACTGTAAGATTTTTTTTAAAAGCAACTAGCTAGAAATTGAAGAAAAACAAATAAAATTAGGGTGGTTGATTAATTACCGATAATGAACAATGATGCTTTCCAAGCACCAGTCGAAGAACGAAGAGGTGTTTGTCCTCTATGATCAAACGAGGAGTCGTAAACCCATTTTTGTTCGTCAATTTCTACTTGTTGACCTTTCTCAAGATGCTCCATAAATCTCTCACCTGCAAAGTGTAATTTAAGTTTGGAATATTGATGAAGAAGATGTGTTTTTAATGGGAAGCTTTTGTGTTGTTTATATAGTCACAGATTCTGCCTTATCTCCCCTTTTTAGTGGGTTGGTAATTCAAGTATGAAAAAATGTTAAACTAATCATTATATTTATGTATGGTATGTATTTAGATGTGTTTGTAACAATAGAATTACGTGATTATACTTAGTTAAGTGGTTGGTTGATTAGAATTCAAACAAAAATGATACAATTAATATCGTCTAAGAGTATGAATAATAACTAGTTAATATTGATTTATATACTAATAAATAATTGAAAAGATAAAAATACAGCAATAATTCTATCTGTTTGTCATATTTGCATTAGAAATAGTCGACCTTTTCTTTTGGTGAGCAACTTATGAGGTCTTAAATGACCGACAAAAAGTACTAAATACTATCAAGTTAATGCTAGCTTTTATCTTTCAGTAGTCCAAGTACACTTGTTTAATGAACTGATGCATGTATATATGTTTTTTTTAGATAGATACGTTAGATAATGTTATACAGTAAATAATATGAAGAACAACGACCCAATTTTAAACGAACGGATTGTTTATATTTGGCAATTGGCATGGAGCATATTACATAGCTATTCAGCATGTTTATGAATAAGTAAGAGCATAACTCGCATGTTAATTGTATCGGAGGAGATTATTTGGCTCGGTGTTGAAAGAATTCCTCTACGAGCTTGGTCTACTAATTCATTCAATTAAGAAGACGGTGGAAAGTGGTGCATGTGGATGATTTTCAAGACGGCAACTTGTATAGTTGGTGTATAGTTGGAGAGTGTAAATCAAATTCACTAGCATTACAACCATATCAGAATCGGTCAAGGTCGATATGGATAATAAATGGGTTAGGGAGGTTATGGGTTGGTCTCATATGATCAGTGAACAGGATGAGAAGTCTGTTAAACTTAGGTGAAGTATCACTCTCGTACATAACGAGATACCCTAGTTGGATTGAGGGGATTTGAGTAATACAAAGCACACTTGCACAAAGTTGTCTTTTACACTACAAGAAAAGTTCTTTTTAGAGACCAGTTTTTGATGACACTTAAAATCTGGTAAACAAAATAGCATCATATAATGATATATTAAGTTGTCCCTAAATGTTGGTAATGCTACAAATTTAATGACCGATAATATGGTGATAGTCACTGACCGTCCACTAAATATTTTTTTTAATATTATAAAATATACTAGTGACTAAAATAATGGCTACTGCATTATATGAAAATTTAGTTATTATTATTATTTATTATTTATTTTTTTAACCGGCAAATCTAATATATTCTTAAAACTAATGCTTAATATTATCTATATCCACCACATGACTTGAACCTTCGATCTCACTGATTGAGCTAGAAGCCCTTTGTAAATCACTAAAGAAATTTAGTAACCATATATAAGTCACTAAACAATAGGAAAGACCAAATTGCCACATTTTTTCATTTTATTTGTATTAAAAACCACATGACCTTTCTGCCCTTTTCTTTTATTCTTGCACAAAGGGTACCAATAACCTATTTTCCATATAAAATCTTTTAGGGTAAATATGTCACTATAGCCACTATCGTCATTTATCCGATTTGGTCACTAAAGTATTTTTTTTGCTCGATAGGTCATTAAACTTACAACTTACATGTCTATTAAGTCACTTTCATTAGTTTTTAACCGATCCTCCGTTAATCAGTTAGTATAATTTACAAGAATGGTCCCTATGGTTTCAGTTTTCTTTTGTGGTTGGTTCTTTACCAGCATCGTTCATCACATGCACCACCACCGTTCACTTCTGGCACCCACCAACATTCACCTCGAGCAACCCCCACGATTTTTGATTTAGAGTTTAGTTTACCGGTCAAATTTAAGTAAAAATATGATATATTTGGTAGAAACTCCAACCACTTAAATCCCTTAAATCGACCAAAAATATGCTAGATCACTAAAAAGGGTCATCTTAGAAGTTTGCAAACTGCATTTACTATTATTTGGTGAAATAGTTGCATTAAAAATGATCAGTTTTTTATATGAGGTTATTGTCTCAAATAAAAATGTATACGTTGGTACTTAGTAAACTGCATTTAGTGTTGTATGGTGTAACAATTTCATTCGGATAATCCAATTCAAATATGCATGTCATGTATATCATTTGTGAAGGTAAGGAATATTGATGCATTCTTTGTAAGAAAAAAATTAACTCACGAATATCTTGTTGGTAATTAATTTCTTATTTAGCAAATAGATATTGTTACACTTTCATTCAATGTTGATTCTAAACATTTTTTTTAAATTGCATTCTTTAAAATTGAAACTCGCTGAAATTATTTTTTTATGAAAATTAAAATCGTTTGAGATTTTTTTGTGAGTGATCGTATTTTAGAATAATGGTTAAGGGGGTTGCCCGAGCTGAAGGGTGGAGGTTGCCGAAATTGAACGTTAGTGATGTCGGTGATGAACTGTGTTGATGTGGGAACAACCACGAAAGAAATTGAAATCATAAGGACCATTCGTGTAATTTATAATAATTAGTTAACGGAGAATATATTAAAAACTAACGAAAGTGACTTAATAGACAGGTAAGTTGTAAGTTTAATGAACTATTGCACAAAAAAAAATACTTCACTGACCAAATCGAAAAGTTGATAATAGTTGATTGGGCTATAGTGACATTTACCCTTAGTTTAAGCCATACCTTTTATAATTGATGAAAAGAAGATAACTTTGCCCTTTGATTATCACCACACTCCACCTCCTGTTAGCAAGTTTTAGTTTTTCGGAAAGTTCCCATCAAAATCCGCACCTAAACAAATTTCTAATCATTTTAATTGATCCAAAAATAACCCTTTTGCCTTTTTTTTAATTACTTTGTCGATCAACTTGTAGCCATCCCCTTTCATGTTATATCTTTCATTTTTTTGTTAAAAGGTCATTTTGCCCTTTAACAACAACCACTTAATATAATAATGTTTATATCTTTTATGGATCAAATAATCATTTTTCATACTCCTTAATAGCAATGATAACAAAATTCATCATCGATAGGTAAAAAAGTTACTTATAAATCCCTTTTTAACCTAATTGAGATACACTACTAGAAACAAAGTATCATGGATAACTCTTTTAGCGACGACATCAGACGAGACACGCCTGGTGTCGCCGCTAAAGTCAGTATCGTCACTAAAGATATAGACTGATGATCCGTAGGATACACGTCACTGTCAATCTTAGCCCTTGGTTTGGAACATGATCCGATGGATATGGTTCACTCTTGTGGAAGGCAATAACGACGACACCTTTAGCGACGACATGTCGCCGCTATTGGTGTCGATCTGTGTGACCTACATTAGACGCAATCTTGGCCCTACGATTCTTACACAATCCAATGACCAATAATCACCAGAAAAGGCACGAGTAATTCCCTCTAATGTGTCGCCGCTAATGGTGTCCCTCTTTTGACCGACCATTGTCCTAGTTCTGGTACTCATTGCATTGTTTTCTCTCTTCAAGCCTCCGACGACCGAACACGATTTTCACCGTCGACCCACGCCGATTTTCACCCACAGTCACCACCGACCGACCTTCACCACCAACTGGCCAGAATAGTTTTCAACCCTTTCGCTAGATTTCTTTCCACACCCAATTCAACAGCTTCTCCGACTTCGATCTGTGGAGACGGTATGCGCTCAACGTCCTCATTTCTCTTTCTTTTTCTCTTTTGACCTCGATGTCTCTTTTAATTTGTTGAATTTTGTGGTTTTAAATCACCACAACAGCCACCGTTGATTTTTACAGCGACCACCACCATTACAACACCACATTTCTGCATTTTCCGGCCACAATTGTGTTTTTCAGGCATCTCTTCTTATTTGTTGAATTCTGTTACTTATATGTGGTATGTGTATTTGTTACACATATGAAATTGTTATATGAAGTTTGTATATGAAATTGTTATATGCAATTGTTATAAAATTATATATGAAATTGTTAGAAATTTTTATATGCATATTGTTTGTATCTAATTGGTATATATAACGTATTTTTGTGTTTTGAAATTTGTATATGAAAATTGTATGTGAATTTTATATGAATTGAAAGTGTTATATGAATTGTATATGAATTGAAAGTCTTTTTATGAATTGTACATGAAATTTGTATATAAACTTGTTATTTGAAATTAGTATATGAATTGAAAGTGTTATATGAAATTTGTATGTGTATGTTCTTACATGAAAGTTGTATTTGCAAGTTCAAAGAATCAGATTGGTATATATGAATGTATTGTGTGTTTGGTATATATGTTTTTTTGTATATGATTTGTCTTTAACGATTTTTTAGGTTTTTGTGGTCAAGTTTGGTAATGTCATAAAATGACTCAACGATTTTGAGAATGGTGAATGGATATGTATTTATAAATATGTGTATTTGTTAAGTGTGTATATATGTATTTGTATGCATGCAAAAAAATTTGTGTGTGTGTATATATATATATATATATAGATATATATATATATCTATATATACACACACAAATTTATATATATATATATATATATATACACACAAATTTTATATATATATATATATATATATATGTATATATATATATATATATATATATATATATATATATATATATATCTATATATATATATATATATATATATGTGTGTGTGTATTTGATATGTGTGCAAAAGTAGTATGCTATAATTGACAATGTCATTAAAGTATAATATTATAATAGAGAACAATATAAGAAAATTAGTCTAAATAAAAAAATTGTGAAAAAGTACAATGTCATCGATGAAAAATCACGACATAAGAAAAGATGCTAAAAACTTAATTATTTAAAGTACAATGCTATAATAATAAAAATATGTTTTTGTGTTTAAGTATCTTCCTTTTAAATCGTCAAGATCCTAGAATACCCGCCCAAAATTGATTTAGAAATTAATTTCGGGCTGTCATCGTTTTGGGACCGCTTTTTGA